GTTATTATTATTAGTGAGCCCAATAAAATTATTACATTATCATTATTTATTATTATTATTATTATTATTCATCTTTTAGCCTTTTTAATCTTTGTAATTATTGTGAAGTTTTAATAAAGTTTTATATTTTATAAAAAAAAAAATTATTATTATTATTATTATTGTTATTGTTATTGTTATTATTATTGTTATTAGTGGGCACTTACTGACAAAAGTGTGAATAAACAAAGAAACAAGGCAACACAGACCCTCTCTCTACCAAAAAGCAGCCTACTATATTGTGAAAAAATCTTTGTAATAAAAAATAATGTAGATGACTAACATACCAACAGGGCCATACATATTCCCAATGAGCCCATTTGGTAGTGCAACAGACTGGAATTTTAATGAGTGAACACGTTTGTGACCGTTATACACAATTCTTTGCTGTTGATCTGGACGAGCGATCGGTCTCTCTGTCCCATCTATGAATCCAAAACAATTTTCTAGTGGGGCGCCTTTTGCATGTATGACATCAGCATACTCCTGTAACAACTGAGGGTTCAAAATATCGTCATTCCATTGAGATATTCTGTGGCTGTGATTGTTGAAAATGTTGTCCATGACTTCGTTCGTAATCATGCATAACTCTGGAACTGGTCTTCCAAACCGGCTGATCATATCTGAATAGCGGCAAGGGTAAGAAAACCTTCTCAGTAGCATGCATAAACCTTCAATTCTATCACAGATTGTTCTTTGTGGACAATGGATGTTCATTGGTAGTTGAAGAACGTTTGCCAGCAAAGGGATGTCTTGTTTTTGGACTCTGAACTCTGCCAAACACTCGCTTTCGTCAACGTTTTCAAGATCAAATCTTGCATACGAACTGTACGGAAAATCAGGGTTCTTGGAACGGTAGCTCTCCCACAAGACCAAGAATTCTTCATCAGAAATTATTTTACTATCATACGCTAGTAACAGCATCTCTCTTGTTTCACGAAAAGACATTTTCACAGGTTTTTTTCAAGCTTTCGAGACAGGTTTCGAATGGGTTGCCGTCGCAAAAATACTTCTTTGCTTAAGTTTGGATTTTGGCGGGAACGACGGCGCCCTCTTACCCAGGCTCGCTCGTTTGTAGACGTCGCCGTCGCCCGAAAAACGTCTGGTGCTTAAGTTCCCTATTATCGATGTGGTCAACAGTTATATCAGTCACATTCCTCGTATTGGAAAGTATGATGATACGCACCTCTTCTTGGCTCACCACCCCATGGCTACGTCTCGGTTCGGCCATATGTGTGACTGGAGATGCCGCAACTATCCACTACAGACATGCTCTGACGTATGTGGAGTCATTGTTCTAATAATCGCAGCGCTGGCGGCTTTAGACCGACCCCTATTTCAGTTCTTGATTGGTCCCAGCGAGAAAAGTCAAGTCTATCTACAACGCCCACGCCAACATGTTTATTTTCTAAGGAGAATCATAATAATGTGTTGGTTTGCCGAAAGTAGCATTGAAATCAATTACGTGCTTCTGCATCATGATTGGCGCGATAACGTCCGTACAGAGTCTGACCACTCCTCTTGCCTACGTCGGTTCACGTCCGGTAGCACAAGGAAAAAGCTCAAGCTATCCCTAAATCCTAAAGCATCGTCCTCCAATGGATCAATTCCGAGAACAACAGAGGAACATGCATCAGAAGACTTTCCAGTTAATATTGCTCAGGTCTCCAGTGGTTCCTCTTCAATTCCCAACTCTCCAATGTCTTCAGAAGAAACATTCTCGCCACCACCAAAGACGCCTTCCTCGCCTAACGATTCATGTGCGGTTCCCTCATGTAAAAAAGGGTCCCAGTCATCATCTGGGAAACCTCGAAACGTCCCAAGGTCCTCAGCTGACCTCTGATCGAGTGCAAAAAAGCCTCAGCCTTTTAACACGCCCAGATCCAACTAGTCCTGCACATAACAATAATCCACAAGCTTGTCCACAAGCTAACCCTTCTGAGAAGAGCGTCTCTAATTCCCAGCCATCTCCCAGTACCGGGCCTCCGGCTCCGGCTCCAGCATCAACGCAACTAACTTCTCAAGGGACAATTGCGTATGATTCCTCTAACGCTGATTCAGCTGATTCAGTACCTCCTCCCAACTGTGAAGGTATGACCAGATTCCAGTGCGAACTTTGTGGAATGAACTTAAGCGGTAGAAACTGCTTATATAAACATAAAAAAAGAAAACACAAGCTGACCAACAGAGTTGATGAAGATGGAGGAAAAGATGCAGGAAATAAACATGTCGTTTGTCCAGAGTGCAAAGAAAAACAAAAAAGGTGAGATGAACCAGCTCATTCCATCTTTCGGGACTAAAATTAAAAAAAGTCATGATAAAACGACAAAATAGCCTTATTGCCTTCAGGGAGACTTGAAATGCAAGGCTGAGTTATAATGAAGCACGGTGAATAGTTTATGACCAACGTAACAGTCCAAATCGATTGGCACGAGAAGAAAAAAATTGTCAAAGTAAGCACTACTTTGCACCACTTTTTATAACTTTGGTAATGAGAGTAAAAGCCTTTAAAGTCGTCGTTCATAACTCAAGGTGAATAGCTCTTGTAACGATGGCACTACCAACAACTTTATTTTTTCTTTTACGTTCGAAGGTTTGTCTATTCAGGCTTTGGCGCTTTTCTCTACTCTATTATCCAGTGCAACAAAGACAAAATGCCTGCAATGGCAGACGAAGTTACAAACAAAATGAATAATTAATGCCATTATAGGTTATATATGTACTCTAGTCCATTGTAGGCCCTTATGTTTTCAACTATTTTAGTAATTGTTATGTTCCACATAACTTGTGGTTAAGAGTTCCAATGATTTTATTTTCCTTGTCTCTCCAGATCTGCTTTTGCTACAATCGGTGATTTAATACACCACCTTAATAATCACCACGGTCACGACTTGAAGATTAAAAGCATGACGTTCAAAGACATGACAGAATTCGAGAAATGGAAGAATGAAGAAGAAAGGATGACAAAGAGTTGGTATGTGAAACACCGTGCTGACAGAAAGACCAAGCAGTACACAAAATCATGGTTGCGATGCAATAGAACTGGCACGTTTGTCTCCAAAAGCACGGGAAAGAGAGCAATGAAATCACAAGGAACTTGCAAGACTGAATGCTCATGCCCTGCCTTTATCACAACAAGAAGGTATCACGCAAAAGGAGAGGTGCAAGCAGAGTTCTGTTTGAAACACGTTGGGCACAGACAGGAGAACGCCTTCAACAGAATGTCAAAGGAAATGCGCACCACCACTGCAGCTAAGCTTTTTCGGGGCAGTAAGTGTGGGCCGCTTAATAGGGATCACTTAATAACCCGTGCAGACTTACACAATATCAAGCAACAGTATAATATAAACTGTATGCAGAAAGCTAGTCATGACACTGACAGTGTTCTCTACTGGGTACAAGAGATGCAATGCGAGGAATTCAATCCAGTTTTGTTCTTCAAACCACAAGGCCAGAAATCCGATTTCAATGGTGTGGAAGAAAAAGATTTCCTACTGGCATTGCAAACGCAGTTCCAAAAAGAAATGTTTGAAAAACATGCTCAGAAATTAATATGCGTCGACGCCACCCACGGTACGACGGCATATGACTTCCAGCTAGTCACAGTTCTTGTTACAGATGACTACAACGAAGGTATACCCGTAGCATGGCTCATTAGTAACAAAGAAACGACGGATGCTTTGAAGATCTTTTCTTCATGTTTAAGAGAACGCTGTGGCGAAATACAGACAGAAACGTTTATGAGTGATGACACAGACGCTTACTACAACGCCTGGGTTTCTACATTTTCGAGGCCGGACCGGAAACTGTTATGTAGCTGGCACGTCGACCGCAGCTGGCGATGAAAACTGAACGAACATTTGAAAGACAAGGAACAGATGGCCGAGGTATATGCCGCACTGAAGTCTTTACAGAATGAGTTATCCGAAACAAGCTTCAGGCGTTCCTTGCAGCACTTCATGGCGTGGATCAAGGGCAAATCAAAGCCACTGGCTAAGTATTTCGAGAAAGAATACGTGGGAGGAACAAGGGAATGGGCAGCTTGTTTTCGGGTAGGATCACGGGCAAACACCATGTGTCATGCTTGCTCTTCTTTCGTAACAGCATGTGTCTTAGCAGGTTTGATCACTTTTTACGTGAGGGGGACTATTTGACCGCTAAATTGACCACATGCTTGCGAGAAAACTCATTTCTTTCGACTTTTAAAACTCAAATTTTTAACAATCCTTTAACTAGAAACTACATTAATGCTAGTTAATTAATCACAATAAATGAGTCATTTAACAATCAACATGTTCGTTGAGGGCTTCCATAGAATTCTCAAGGAGGTTTACCAAGAAAAGAAACAAAACCGTCGCGTTGATCACCTGATATTTAAGCTACGGAAAATATCTCGAGATAAGGCCTTTGAGCAGCTCATTAAAGCTGAGAAGGGCAAAAATACCGTTAGACAACGTGAAAGTATCAAGCGGCACAAACAAGGGGAATCAGTGAAGAAGAAAGCGGTTCACAAGCAGGATGAGAACTTCTGGAATGTTCAGTCGGCCTCTAATAAACAAACTGTGCATCATGTGAGAAGAATAAGTTCAGGTTGCTCATGCCTGTTGAATTGCCCTTCCTGTGATGCTTGCGTAAATACCTTTGAATGTTCTTGTGCTGATTATTCTATAAGGGGTGTGTTGCGCTCCCATATCCACTCTGTAAACTTCCTCTACCCAAAAACCACAGCTGCTGATTTAGAATTTCCTGGTACAGAGCAGGAGACCACCAGTGACAGTGACATAGAGAAGAAACGCGAGGAGTTGTCTAATATTATTCAACAGGACAAACAACTCCAGGAAAGCAAACAGCTGGCTGACCTCAAAACATATGCACTTAATCAGATTGCTGAATTGAGTGAATTGATTCAGAGTGCCCCGACAAAAGACACCATAAATACAACATTGAAGCACATTCGATCT